GAGCATGTTATGTATTTACCCACTAACCATCTGTAGAACATTACTGTTGGTTAGTGAATGTATTACCTTGGGGAATGGTTTTGCCAAAAGAACCTTCTATGTCTATGAAAACATCCAAGATAGGCTCCTTATTATCAGGGCCGGCTAGAGGAGGCAGCCGGGAGTAATTCCCGGGGCCCGGGCTCAAATGGGGGCCCGGCAGCGGTATAAGGGGGGCCCGGAAGTGGTGGTGTTTGTTACTTTTTGAACTTCGACAGAAGAGGGGGAAGTTCATAGTTGAAGACCTTTTTTTCAAGTAGAGGAAGATAAATTTTTTTTTAGAGAAATTCAGTAGAGAAGGAGAAAATTATCGCGGGGCCCGATATGGAGAATTGTCCTGGGGCCCTGCTTATTATCCAGGGATCTTTCTATCCGGAGGGCAACGGAATAGTTAAAAGTTAAAAGAAAAGGTCTAGTGTTTAGGAATTACAGAAATGATGATACAATATAATTTTGATCAATGTTGAACAATACAAACTTTCCATAAGTTAGAAAATTTGTTAAATATTTACTAGTTTTAAGGCCATGAAATTATTAACAAGAACTGTGTGAGATGGCGTTCAATTAATACCTTTTTGATTCTTAAATAGGAGCAAAAATCTTTCAAAACTTTAATTAATCGTTTTTTTTTAAGTAAAATGGTGATCGGAACCAAAAATTAAGCTAGAAACATTGTGAGCAGTTCGTTTCGGTTCAATATAAGCAAGTAGGTATTCTCCAGGTTTGCCACCCACTAATTGAAAAACTCTCTAACCAAATATTCAAATATGAATTTTATAATACCATTTCATTTTTATTTATATTTTTTGCATTTGCATATTTTAAAAGAGAAAGTGATAATTTTGATCATGATAATATACATATTTGTAGGCAACTTTCTCCTCATTAAGCAAAATCAAAGGTAGAGTCTTAAAAATATTTTCTCTCTGCTTTTTTCTTTTGACGTAATTAAATACCTTGTGAAGTATTAGCCAAAGGAGTAGTTGTTGTCAAAAGAGAAACGGCTGTCCATAGTATTGTGACACATGGTTTTTGGATAATTTTAATTGTATTTTACATCTTTTTTATATTTGTAAGTACATTTTTTAACTTCAACGTTCAGTAGACTGTAAATTATTAATAAAATTACATATTTTCAATGTAACACAATAAAATGCTTCTAAAATTATTAAAAGCTGCTACGAAATGTATTTAGGAAATATTTTTACATTACATAAAAAAATAGAGAAATAAATACATTTAGTTCTTTCACAAATTCATGCAAGATAAATGATTTGTTTTTACTTTACATGCTACTACAAACGTTTATTGCTATGGGACTTACCACTGGACTTGTGTCTTCAATATTAGCTTTTATTTATCATAAAAAGGGGTCATAAAAATTATAATGAATCTATTTAATATTAACGAGCATGCAAAACGCTCCAATGGGGAAATAAAGAAACAAATGGGTTAATTAAATGTGAATGAAGAAAATAATAAATAATGACTAATTTCTACAACACAGAAACAATATAATACCTTGTATAATTGTATCAATAAATATTAGAGAGTTGTTGCAAGTTCATTATTAGTGCTGCTCTTATTTTCACATCTGAGCATGCGTAGATCACTTACATTCTAGAACTGACTTTAAAGATTGTGGATGTTTAAGCTCGCCAACAATCCTATCAGTTCGAATTTTTTTAATATTAATAAATATTTAATATCATAGTCATCTAAACCTTCTAAAATGGTAATTTCTAATGCCTCTTCCATATTATGTACTATTATAAACAACAAAAAAGATGAACTGTAATTTAAAATTTTTAAAATGAGGTTAGAAATATGTATAAGGACTCTAATGTCAAAGTTTCAGGTTTGCAATAAGTCTTATTTTAGCATGGAATTTATTTGCCTCTAATTTCGTTGTCACTATTAGTGGCTGACGTTATAGAAATTTGCAATATCTCTCTAATACTTAAAAAAATATAAATATACATAAGTAAATATTAATACGAAGATGTTCTATTTCCGCTGAACCTATCTAGTAGGCGATGATATTTTTGCAACAAATTTTGTTTGACATCTGACATTTCAGTGTAATTAGGCATTTCAACGGTCTGTCAAAATGCTGACAAGTAGGAACTGGCAGTTTAGATATGGCAACTGTGTAACCTGCTGTCATTGGCAGAGTCAATGATACATATACAGTTTATAGATTGTTCAAAGCGGGTCGTTTTGTGAGCGCCCATATTGCCTCGGAAGTGCTCATTAATCAGAATCAATTTAGCAAAAATGTGTTTTAAAACCAATGTTCAGCCTTTGAATATCGTAAAAAAATAATTACCTACATTTTTACTTCAAGGCATAAGCTTATGTTTATTTTGAAAAACATGGATGATCTATCTATATCATTGATCCTGTCAAATCACCAGGTTGCCGTATCTTACCTACATCATAATCTGTCAAAATCCACTGGCAGCCATTTTGTTTGAAATGCCTAATTATTTACAAGTTTAATTAGTGACAGTTTACAAATGTACCCGATTGTTTGTGAGTTATATAAGTTTAAAGTAATCCTTTCGCCAATAACTAATGGAAATAAAATGAAAGGATGGATCATTTTGCATCAAGATAATACTCGAGCTCACATTACTGTTAGAACAAATAACTACTTGAAAACCCCCAGTGATTTATTTTAAAAGTTTTTTAAGACTAAAATGAAAAAACTTTTTTTGTACTACTCGCTTTGTAAATGTAAATTCCGTAGAAATTCCGTAGAAATTCCGCAGAAATTCCGTATAAATTCTGTAGAAATTCCGTAGAAATTTCGTAGTAATGTCGTAGAAATTCCGTAGAAATTCCGTAGAACATCATAGAAATTCATAGAAATTTATAGAAATTTATAGAAATTTATAGAAATTTATAGAAATTTATAGAAATTTATAGAAATTTATAGAAATTTATAGAAATTTATAGAAATTTATAGAAATTTATAGAAATTTATAGAAATTTATAGAAATTTATAGAAATTTATAGAAATTTATAGAAATTTATAGAAATTTATAGAAATTTATAGAAATTTATAGAAATTTATAGAAATTTATAGAAATTCATAGAAATTCATAGAAATTCATAGAAATTCATAGAAATTCATAGAAATTCATAGAAATTCATAGAAATTCATAGAAATTCATAGAAATTCATAGAAATTCATCGAAATTCATCGAAATTCATCGAAATTCATAGAAATTCATAGAAATTCATAGAAATTCATAGAAATTCATAGAAATTCATAGAAATTCATAGAAATTCATAGAAATTCATAGAAATTCATAGAAATTCATAGAAATTCATAGAAATTCATAGAAATTCATAGAAATTCATAGAAATTCATAGAAATTCATAGAAATTCATAGAAATTCATAGAAATTCATAGAAATTCATAGAAATTCATAGAAATTCATAGAAATTCATAGAAATTCATAGAAATTCATAGAAATTCATAGAAATTCATAGAAATTCATAGAAATTCATAGAAATTCATAGAAATTCATAGAAATTCATAGAAATTCATAGAAATTCATAGAAATTCATAGAAATTCATAGAAATTCATAGAAATTCATAGAAATTCATAGAAATTCATAGAAATTCATAGAAATTCATAGAAATTCATAGAAATTCATAGAAATTCATAGAAATTCATAGAAATTCATAGAAATTCATAGAAATTCATAGAAATTCATAGAAATTCATAGAAATTCATAGAAATTCATAGAAATTCATAGAAATTCATAGAAATTCATAGAAATTCATAGAAATTCATAGAAATTCATAGAAATTCATAGAAATTCATAGAAATTCATAGAAATTCATAGAAATTCATAGAAATTCATAGAAATTCATAGAAATTCATAGAAATTCATAGAAATTCATAGAAATTCATAGAAATTCATAGAAATTCATAGAAATTCATAGAAATTCATAGAAATTCATAGAAATTCATAGAAATTCATAGAAATTCATAGAAATTCATAGAAATTCATAGAAATTCATAGAAATTCATAGAAATTCATAGAAATTCATAGAAATTCATAGAAATTCATAGAAATTCATAGAAATTCATAGAAATTCATAGAAATTCATAGAAATTCATAGAAATTCATAGAAATTCATAGAAATTCCTAGAAATTCATAGAAATTCATAGAAATTCCTAGAAATTCATAGAAATTCATAGAAATTCATAGAAATTCATAGAAATTCATAGAAATTCATAGAAATTCATAGAAATTCATAGAAATTCATAGAAATTCATAGACATTCATAGAAATTCATAGAAATTCATAGAAATTCATAGAAATTCATAGAACCCCGCTAGCCGTGACGTTGAGACGATAAGTTTCAAGGTCATCGCTGGACTCGGGTCTGAAAAACTCTACTGCTGTGACATACGTGATTTTTTATGGTCTACTTTAGATTTATTTATTGACTGTAACAACTTAGATAATAAATATGTTTGAGAAATCAAATTTTTAATTTTAACTAAAAAAAAAAATTAAATTTATATATTGCTAATAGTACAAAAAATGTAATATAAACCTCCGCTTGTAAGTGTAAATTACACTTGAAATACATAAATATTTCCTATCTAATATTCACAAACATAAAGACTCTGTAACTAATGAGTAGATCAACTTAACAAAGAATTAATAAATTTGAAGTGCGAAGTTCCATTGCTTCTAGTTTTAAAAGTATGAAAGTATTTTGATTATAAAGATTTTTGAAAAGATCTTTAATCAATAGTATGGTTGAATACAATGGAAATTCGCAACTGTTTTACGATAAAGATATTGATTGACTTTTATAACATAAAAACATACACATATATCTAGCATGGAAAAGATAGGTAAAAAATAATTACAAAAAACAAAATACGCAATACATCAACATTACAAGAATAATATAATTTGTACTTACCACTAAAACACCACCTTCCAGTCATTTTGGCGAAGATTAAGATGGACGCAATTAAAACTACAAATAGTACAACTATTACTACTCCAATTATGGCTCCAACTCCCAGTTCAACACCTAAAATAAAGTCAAGATTTGTATAAAGTTCAATTAATTTAACTTCATCTTGTGTTTTAGAAAATGTATGGCAAGAGATCTACCCTCGGTAGGTCAAAAAGAAAAGGCAACAATGGCATATTATATTATACAAAACGTTAACAGACGCTTCAAAATAAAGATAATACGCCTAATTATTATTGTATTTGGACGTGAAGGACACAAAGAGAGTAATTTGTTTAACCACGTCCTTTCAAAGGCTCTCGGCGACGTATTATTCTATTTCTCTCTATTCAATAGCATTCTATACTTTTCTCCTGAAGTGAGGTTTGTAAAGTTAATAATGAAAACATTTATGGACCTAAAAAATTCATAGAAGATCAAACACTATTAAAAATATTACATTGTGTATACTAATTAATCTATATGAGTGACTTAGTACCGTCCTAACTTAACTCTAACCTTAAATTTTAAAGTGTTTTATATTTAATGACTAAAATACAAATTATTATATATCAAAGATAATACAAAAAAATAAAAAAAAAAAAAGATTTTATTGCTATGTATTTAGTAACAGAACCAAAGATATAGACCTACAATTTTAATTTCTCTGTACAGAGAATCTGCTGTCTTACAGAAAAAATGAAAGTAGATTTGTTAACTAAACCACCTAATATGTGAGGTTAAATAATCTGAGGAAGATGATTGGATTAATTTAATAAATTTATCATCATTGAGGAGCAGTGTTGGAATATTTACAATAATATCAAGAGGTACCTTTGGTCTGTACGATTTTCCACAAGTAGGAAGGGATTTATCAGGCAATGCAAATTATTTCTGTGTTAATGAATTTTCTATTTGTAACTTCAAAAGACTATAATTTTTTTAAGCGCTTTTATATATTATTCTAACGACATATTTCTGACTCCAGAACATCTATTATAATTTATGCACTAACTTTTTGTTACACCCTGTATATTCCGTGACCTGGTACAATGGAATCCCGTTAAGTGCATTAATTGTAATTGATGTTTCATCCTAACTGTAATTAAGCATTATAATGCAAAAGTGCTTAATGAAAATAAAGTAATTTGTTGTGATAATGATCAGCTTTCGGTTAATGATGTAATGCAGATGAGAGTGAAAAATTATTATTTGCTGCCATGGAAAAGATATGTAAATAATGTTTATTTGTACAAAAGGAATTGATGAAAAATGAATGAGCGATAAAATGTTAAAAAGATGCAATTTGAGGAGGAAGGTTGTAATAAATTAAAAAAAAAGAAACGCCTACAACTGACGTAAATATTTGATTGTCGTTTATAACGTTATTTTTCAAACACCTCTATTGTCCCATCTCTTTCCTTGCGATGACAATTCTGTGTCTGTCAATCGAGACCCATTTTTGATTGACTTTCTTTCTGAATTTGGTGTCGATAAGATAAGACGAATTTTGATTTATCGAGATGATCCTCTGATAACGAGATTCTTTTTCATTTTTAAAAACCATTAGGTTAATAATCATGGTAAGTGTTAAATATATGTTTTTGTTTCATACAATGGTTATAAGGAATACCAAGATTTATTTGCTTAACTTTTTGAGGTTTTGAATAATATGTTGGTTTCTGTAAAGAATTGGATATATAGTATTTTATTATTCAAAACGTTCGTCTCATCCGTCCTATCTATCCGATTTATCCATTAAAAGGTCGAAATCGTTTTGGCTACATTTGTATGGATTTCATCATATGAAGAATGATTAAGAAGCTTTTTTACTTGGAAATGAGAAGAATGATTTAGATGTTTTATATCTGGTAATATGAACAAGGATTTGTTGATTTGGATAGTAATTAACGTCTTAAGGATTGACATCTAGGAGGCTACAACGATTTTCTAATTTGAATAGTAAGCAAGAACTTGGGGACCTAATAAGTATAATAATCTGTTTGGAGACCTTTCATCGTAGATGAGACCTGTTTTACCCCATTGATGAAGTCTTGCCTCATTGAGATAAGTCAAATTTACAATGTACACATTACTATTCACAAATAAATAACTTAATTTAATATTATTTTTTGTTTCCGTAATTTTATCAATTACTTTTATACTTAGAGATATGCGAACTTAAATACGGTAATGGCCAACTCCTAATTTCAGGGTAATTGAGTTATTGTATCCTAGAGCCTAATCCACGACCTTTATTAATGAGCTTTAATCACTTAAATAGTAAAACCAACAACAGTGGTTGTTGGAGTGCTGCAATTTCTTGTATTGTTCGCTTAGTTAACTAATTCAAGGCGTTTTATTTATTTAATTTGTTAATTAAATTGCTGCTGTATTATTTTTAAGTTTACTTACCGTAAATTCTCTGCCGAAAAAATTTTTGAATACCTGTGGAGCAGCATGAAAATTGGGTAAAAACTTTTAAAAATTATTGAATTATAAAACAAGGTACCACCTATACTTAGAAAATATGAAAATCGACAAAGGTATTTTCATTTATTCGGAATATTTATAAAATGCTAATTTGTCATCTGTGTGAGTTTGATGAAGTAATCAATTATTTTTTTTTAAATAAAAATGTGGTTCATGCGATACAACATTCTTTCTATGGTCTTTCTATGTTCTATTCAACTAGGTATATCAGTAATTTTAAGTACCTAAATGAGGTTTGTAAACTGTCAAAAATGTCAAATGTCAACATATATCAAAGTAAATTTGAAAAAGGCCGTTACTGGAAATAATAATATGTGTTATTAATGAAATTTATTGTATTAAAAAAATCTTATTTTTATCAAAATGAAAGGATTACCTATTTAATATTCCAAACAATTTAGGTCACGTATTGAAATTATTATTCTACAATATATATGACAACTGTTAAATTTCGTTGATTGTTAAGTGTAGAAGCGACTTTAATTTGCAATTTATATTTTAGGAAACCATTTGAAAAAAGCTATATCGAGTTTGCTCGTTCACCGTCGCCAATTCATAATCGTACGAAATCGTATGAGCCGAATACCAAAGCGTTAAAAAACCAAAATAAATAATGAAAAACTGAGGCACGACTATGACTGCTGTACGAATAACAATAACACCAGCACCGATCTCACGCACATGATATATCGATATATCGCAAATATAGATATTTTTGTTCGTTTCGATATATCGAAAGATATCAATATCGATATGTGAGAGATCGGTGAATTATTTATATGATTAGGCATTCCAAAGACCTGTCCAAATGGCTACCAGTGGGTTCTGACAGTTTAGATTTGGCAACCCTGTTGGCATGTTGTTATTAATGATTAATGATATACATATATAGTTATTAAATTAAACCAGTAATTAGTGGGGAATGCAGCAAATGAAAGAGTACTTTTTTAAGTTTATTCCAAGCTTTCGGAAATGTTTATTTCCATCATCAGGGAGAATCTTAATTAAGGTTGTGCATTTTGGTGGTATTATTAAGTTTAGTGTAAAAATACAAAGTAAAATGGATAAGCTGAAGTCAATTACAAAATAATATTATACACAAACAATAACTACGATACTTTAAAAATAAAAAAAAATATAAATAACGAAAGGTCAATTTGACATGACAAGTAAAATTTTAAATAAATAAGCAGGATTTAGATAAGAATGGCCAAAGTTGCCATTTTCTTATTAAATGCATTCCATCGCTGTTGTGAGTGAAAATTTGTAGTATAGAAGATTATAAGCTACTTCGTATGAATTCAAAGTCTCCGACAGCTAGATTGGTGCAAAATTGAAGTACTTTTTCAATGAAATCTCAACAGGTTCTCGATATTTAGAATCTCTGCAACTTTAATGCAACTCGCGGGAACATAATAGAATAAATAGAGATGGTTTGCGGCTACATCAAGATGGTGCGCTCCCACACGATGCTGTATTAGTGAGAAATTACTTGGACAACGTCTTGAGCGAAGAGGATCAATCGAATGGCCAACTAAGTCGCCAGATTTAACTCCTTTTAGTTTCTTTTCATGGGTATATTTAAAAAGTAAAGTATACAAAATAGACCACAAAATATTGATGAACTCACAGAACGGGTCTAGATGGCGCAAATAACTCCGGCATTTATTGAAAAAGTTCGAGAAGAGTTCGCTGCTCGTCTTTCCCATTGTATTGTTAGAAATTAAAGGAATTAATTTCAAAATTATGGTTTCTAAATGATTTCTCACCCTTTATACTATAACAATGTTTAAAAGGCTTTGCGCTGCATAATGAGCTCATTATGAAACCAAAATCTAAAACCCCATTTATAAACAAATTATTCTCTATTCTTAACTGTGCAAATAAAAAGAAAGAATGTCACTCTTGGCAACGTTGTAATTTCATGTGTTGTCGTTGTCAGTTGTCATCAAAGTAAGTGATCTGTCTGTAGTTGTCATTGAGAATGCGAATTAAATAACAAGTACATTGTATATGCCTATAAGACATTTTTAATTATGTGTTTATTAGTAAATTGTACGAGAATAATCACTGTGACTTTAATAAATCGGTAGTGTGTCAATTCTTCGTCAAGCAAAGAAGTGGATTATTTGATTAATTTATATATATTTATATATAGAAATCTAATTCTGTCAATCATCCACGACCGAAAATGCTGTCTAGATGTTATCCGAGAATTGGTAGACTATGCAACCACAAATGCACAGAGATGTATTTCAGGCTGCCTAACAATTTCTTTAAAGAGGGCATTATGGTGAAGACGTAAGGGACGTGGATTTCGAGGTTATGTATGAAATTGATCGAGCTAATGGGTATAGAACCCTTTTAAGGAACAAAATAAAGAATGTATTTAACGGGAACTAACGCCTACTTGCTTGTTTTCGCTCGATCAAAATTCAAGTGTTCCCGTTTTCTCTTGGATACTGCAACTGCCGCGATGTGGTACCGTCGACCTCAGTGGCGGCGGTATCCTAATTTGCTAACTCTAACAGTATTATAGCTGCGGGTCGTTAATTAGAGCATTTGTTTTGAATTTGGTTTTTTTTTAATAAACAAGAATATTGATTATAATAAAAATGTTTGACAGTGTAAAACTTTGAAGTACTTAAAAGTAATTAAAAGAGCTTTCAAATGATGTATCGCATGAACCACATTTTTATCACGCCCACACATAATACACGTTTAAAAATTGCGATTATGAATTGTATTTATTTAATTTTTTTACAAAACCAATTGTTCCTGAACAGTTATTGTAAATACCGTAAATATTTGACTCACCTTCAGGCTCAGGGCTAGTAGAAATTTTAAGTTTGTATTCTTGAGATCCTTGGTCATTGTAGGCTGTTAGAACATAGTAAACTTCTGTGTCTTGTTTAGTGATAGCTGCTAGTCTCAAGTTGACTTCATATCTTCCTCGCCCCTGAAATGTAATAAATATTACTTATATAGTCTCTTTATAAAATATTCTCTACAAGTATATTATAACAGGCTCAAAGATTAAAATAATTAGCTGATATGCATTATCAAATCGATGATTATGCTTCGCACATCCGGTGCAAAATATTGTAACAATTGTTTGTTTATATAAAACAGTTTAGTTTATAATTTCAACATCTATATTGAACCTTAAGTTCTATCGAGAAAGTCTTTAGAATGGCGTAGACTTCCACCCACTTGAAATAATCCATAACCACCGTCATGTATTTATTACCCGCCATGGTCATGGGAAATGGTCCAGCAATATCTAAGACAATCCTCCCAAAAGGGCTGCTTCATTGGGGCTTTCTTTTTCGTTGGGGTCCATTACTCATAGCATAAGTAGTACATTTATTACACCAGTCCTATTCATCATCGGAACCGTTCTTCCAATAAAACCTTTCACGAACTCCCTGAAGGGTTTTCTTAACACCGAGATGACCTTCTCGTGGACTGTCTTTGGAATGACCAATTGTCTGTTTTCGTATCCATCATCATTTTCTAGTGTCCGCTTTGATAAGCCTTCTTCCAGAATAAAAGAGTCCCACTGATCCCAATATGATTTAACTACTAAAGAGAGTTTCGGTACTTCTTGTTCTTCCCTAAGTTTAACGAGGGCCCACTTATCGTTGACAACAGTTGTTCTTCGTACTGCAACTTCTTTAGCAGATGTGGCCAACCTTTTTCCAATTAGAGTTCCTTGACCAACACCACTATGAGAGGTGTTTCTTTCTCTACAGTTTCTTGCAACCGCGTTATTCGTATGGTTTCACGTCTATTAGGCGCAACCTGTCCAGACATCAGCTGTTCTTAGGAAGAGTCATATCCGCCCTTCTGATGACCTTAATAGTTAATTCAGTAATTTACAGAGATAATTCACTATTTATTAAGAATGTAATAAATCAAATTTTGAACATGTACGAAATAATTCTTTCAATTTTTAAGGATATAGAAAACTAAAATAACCTATATTCTTAACATACTTATAACTTACTCAGATATCGTCAATATTCATCATTTATATTCACTACCCGTCCCTTATACAGGGTGTTATTGAAATACACGTACATATTAAAACTGGGTATTGCGCAGATCCCCACTGAATGTAGAAAAATATTATTTTTTAAAAATACCCCTTATTAAGGGAGTTATTAATTTTTGAAAATTAATTCTAAAACAAACGTACTTCACTGATATGTTGAGGATGACCTATATAAATTAGGTTTATTTACCTATTTTAAACATCAACAGTAATTAATATACAAGTTTTTGTCAGATGATAAGAAAACTAGTCTTGTAAGAAATAACCATGTTGCCAAGATTTTTGAATTAATTTCTATTTCCGAAGACTGGTTTTTACTACCCTCGTTATCAAAAAACTAGAATATTTGATAAATGATTGTTTTGAAACTATAGATTATTAAAATTTTAGTTGATTTACGAATCTGGCTAACACGAGCGCGTCATTTCCAAGTTGGTAAAAAGTGTTGTTACGATTACTTTTAAATATTTTTTTACGATGCCACTAATTACGAATATTGAACTAACGGATATAGTGCTGGTTTATGGGGCAGCTGGAGAAAATTCTCGGCAAGCACAAATCCTGTATCGCGAACGGTTTCCAAATCGGAGAATTCCGGACTGTCGTACGTTTATTTCAACTGTTCAGCATCTAAGAGACCATGGAAAATTTGAGAGTGTCAATGCAGATCGAGGGAGAACAAGAACACAAAGAACATTGGCGGCCGAAGAAGAAATATTGGAAGCTGTTGAAAACCGGCCTCAATTAAGTTGTAGAAGACTAGGTCTTGAAATTGGAGTGTCCTCATTTGTTGTGTGGCGGACACTTAAAGAACAAGGTTTACATCCTTATCACATCCAAAAAGTCCAGGCCTTATATCCAGGTGATGAAGAAAAGAGAGTGGAGTTTTGTGAATGGATGATTCAAAAATGTGTTGATATTCCTGATTTTCTAAAAATATTATTGTATACTGACGAGGCTTCATTCACTCGTGATGGCGTGTTCAATATGCACAATACGCATATTTGGAGTGATGAAAATCCTCACGCCATTAGGGAAACTGGGCATCAAAGAAAATTTTCAATAAATGTTTGGGCTGGCATAATAGATCAGTATTTAATCGGGCCTTATGTTCTCCCGAACAGATTAAATGGGCCAGGATATCTCCACTTTTTAGAAGATACTTTGCCAGTACTCCTAGAAGAGATACCGTTACAATTAAGGCAACGGATGTGGTACCTACTAGATGGCGCTCCTCCTCACTTTGATTTAAACGTACGGCAGTTTTTGAACATTAGATTTCCTCAAAAGTGGATAGGCAGAAATGGACCTACTAAGTGGCCTCCGAGATCTCCGGACTTAAATCCATGCGATTTCTTTTTGTGGGGTCACATGAAACAACTGGTTTATAATGAACCTATTAATAGTGTTGAACAATTAACCATTAAAGTTAATGCGGTAGCCAAGGAACTACGACAAAATCCAAGACTAATTTCTAATGTTCAAAGTTCTTTGGAAAGACGATTGCAAGTGTGTGTAAATAATAATGGACGGCATTTTGAATAATTACTGTAATAAACTTTATTTTAAATTAATTGGTTTTGCTACGGCAACAGTGCAATTTCTATGGGTAAGTTCAATTTCGATTTATTTTACTTCTTTAAATATGGAAACTAGTAGGTCGGAAAAGGGGACTCTTCCCCAATATTTAAATTTTAGAATTTGAAGTTAAAATTGGTGCCAATCGTTTTTGGTCATTACATACTATTCCCCATTTTAATATGTACGTGTATTTCAATAACACCCTGTATAAGGGCCACTTCAAGGTAATCATTCCCAGAAATAAATTCATGTTAAAAAGTCAATAACATTTCACTTTTCGAAATGACAGTTGCATCAAAAATTAAATTTTGTTACAAAAGAAATAGAAGAAATTAGCAGCTTTACACCCTGTGAGCTTCTTGTGTTGGATATGAAAAACATCCCACGATGCAAGCAAATTCAATCAATTGCGAAACACCAACAACTGGTTAGGTGTATTTCCAAATGAGGTTACCTGTAACGAACAACAAGAGGTCAGAAAATTAAAACAAACGAAATTTCTATAGGATGCCAAATTCAATCACTACTAGAGACGCTAGCCAATGAGAAGTCAATAGCCAACCAATACTTCTTCCTGACATCCAAATCACGAACGATACACTGGCATCCCTAAAACCAGGAGTGCCCTTAGAATATATCAAGTTAGATCAGGTCTCAGATATCCTAAACTAATCCACAGAAATCTAGCCCTTGTCTTGGACAACTGGTATATCCCATACACCCAGCGTGAGGATCATAGTCATCTATATTATGATAGCAAGAACAATCGCAGCCTTTGCCTACAAGAAGTTCTACCCCTAAAAGAAGACATCAACAACCCGAGGTCCAGTGTTGCCATCGCCATCTATTCAACTACCTCATATACCCTCGTAAGTTGAAACTTCGGCGGGAGGAGTCATATCAGCCCTTCTGATGACCTTACAAGAATTTCAAAGCAACTGCCATCAGTGGCCCGCATCATTCTAGATATACCATTTTTATGGTTAAGATGTACATTTCATATAAAATATTTTTGTAACTTAAAATTCAATAAACGTTGTTTTTAAAAAAGGAGTTCGGCTTCATAAGTAGTTAGTTTCATCTCAATTCCAGCACCTGATAGTCTTTGACTGCTTCTCAATAAGAATTTTTATCATGTATACCAATTGATCGAATTTAGTTCCCTGTTCTTTCTCTTCTACCTACATTCCTTACTTGACTGTATCCACCAGAAGCCAGAGTAGCCGCTTCGTATTCAAGAGCAGCGGACAAGACATCAACCAATGTTTTGTGAGGGGCTAAACGGAGTGTTCTTTGCATTTCATGATCACGAAGTCAATCAACAAATGCTAGAACAGCCAAACATTCAATCATTCCGGAGCTGAAAGGTAGGCTAATTGAATCATCTTTGTAATATCTAATTCATATTCTTGAAGGGTCTCGTCTCGTTTCTGATTGCGATTTTTTAACTGTGATTGGATCGCTCTAAGTCTTCGTGGCCATACCGCATGTTTAGTCTCTTTTTAAGTTGTTTAGAATCATCTGTCTTTTCCAAAGGTGTAGTCTGCAGGACATTTAAAGCATCTCCTCAGGGGCCATTGGTCAAATGTATTGCATTATCTCGTTCAGCCCATTCGGTTGCTCTGGCAGCTATTTCGAACTGTTTAAGGTAGTTGGTCCATGATATTTTTCCGTCGAGTCGAAGTTGGGGCTTTAACACGAGCAGAATTTACAGCTCCTTCCAATTTCAGCTTTGACTCTACCTCATGGCATTTTATTTCACCATCCTTGGCCTATTTTGTATGGTCCTTTTCTTCTTTTCCATATTTTATGTTCTCCTCAACGGAAAACATTATTTTTTCCTCAACGGAAATAATCTTATTTTCTTCTTCAGCAGAAATTTCATTTTTTAGAGAAGACATTATGTTTTTAAAGATGAGATATCAGAAGAAACTTTAGTTTCTAAAGAAGGAATTCTGTTTTTCCCAGAAGACATATCAGAAGTATTAGACGAAACTTTACTTTCTAAGGAAGTAATATTAGAAGAAACTTTTGTTTCTAGGAAGGAAATGTCATTTTTTATAGAGGAAGTATCAGAAGAAACTTTGGTAGTGATTTTAGTTTTCATGGAAGACATTTTACTTTCCATATCGGAAGAAATTATAGCAGAAGATGCATCATCCGATAATTAATACGTTTCCGTATTCAAATCTACACTTTCTATTGGTGACTCCGTCACTTTTAAATCACATAGTTTTTTTTAGCCAGTTTTGTCCACTATTTATTTACAGTTCCACTTCTATCACCAATTATTTATATAAAATTGTAACAGCTAAAAAAACCAACTCTGGCTGCGTGCAAGAAATATTCTAGTTACTTTCTCGAGTCTTCGAGGTAGACGGGCAGCGATGGCCAACGCCAGATTCTACAGCGCGGTAAAGGTAAATAGAGTACAGGGTCGGTTTCAGGCGATCGCACGACAATATGTTTAATACAGGAGAGTCATTTGAAAGTAGTTTTGATTGTCATAAAGAGAAAATTAGTGTTTACGTTAGGGGTTTGTAACCTCGGTACTGTGTTACCTTAAAAAAAGTCCTTATCCATGAAAATGAGACACTAATGAAAAGTATTCAGTTTAATTCAATTACTAATAGGACTGATTACAAATTTTATATACATATGTACACTTCAAGGCCGACGAGAAGGGGGTGGGTAGTCGGGCCAAATTTCCGGGGCCCGGGCACGACGTCTTTCACAAGAGCACACCTTTTTTTTAAAGATTTCACTAAAGAGGAGAAGTTTTTGCTTGAAGACTTTTTTTTAAATAAATTTCCCTAACGGAGGAGGAGGAGAAGTTTTTGCTTGAAGACTTTTTTTTAGAAATGTCACTAAAGAGGAGAAGGTTTTACTTTTCTTTTTGTTTTTAGAAATGTGATATTGAAAGAACTTAATTTTTTTTAAATTGTCGCAGGGCCCACCTGGAAAATAGTCCCGGGGTCCGACCTGGCTCTCAGAGGCCTTAGGTACACTGAACTTAAAAGGAGACATCACTTGCGTTGAAAAATGTACTACTGTATACTGGTTTAGTTGTAGCTTCTACCTTTGGCTAGGTCAAAGATAATCGTTAAAGAACAAAGTGAATGGTTTGGAGGTCATAAAGAGATTCGCCGATTCCTGTATGTAATAAGACTTTGCTTTCAGCTACCTCACCTCATTATGTAATGGATTTGTCTAGTTTACGGGACGATATGAGATCTTTGGAAGGCTTTTATTTCGAAATATTTTTAGTACTATTAGATAAAACAAACTTGAGAGCTAGAATATGTAATAGAATGTTGTCTACAGGAAATACATTATGATTCTATTTTGCTGAAGCAAGAGGACTGTTGTTACTCAATGGATGGCAGATGTGGTGTGTTTTTTTAAATATATCTTGTTACTAGGTTAAGTAAAGCACAGGCCCGGCCGTCATTTGTAACATTTTTTGTAGGTATAGAAAATGGCAGAACTTATTCAATTCATAAAAACATTATAATTCAATACCTCGTCTTAAAAAAAAATAAAACATAAAAACAACATAATGTTGATAAAATATTTATAAAACTCGGAAGCTTTGTGTAGTCAAAATTGATAAAATTCGAATAAAGGACTAGTAACGAAAGGTACGTGTACATGTTAAAAATATAAACCAACGGATTGTTTTTATCCTGGAAACTTTATGAGTGGTATGAATAGAATCAGCTTTTTTGTTAGCGGATATTCAATTCATCCAGCTTTTCATTCAATAGGTTGATGATTGAAAGAAGGGAAAAATTACTGGGTACGGGTGATATATGTAATTAGTAAAGTTAATAATGACGCTATTGTTTGATTGGTTTTACATTTATTTGGTCAATAACTTTTTATTAGTATTACATTATATATTACGACTATCTGGAGAGATATTAGCATTTTTAATTATATTGTCATTATTATTAATTTTTCCTTTAAAATATATAGGGTGTCCTATCAGTGCGTAATTATTCGATAGTTCAGTTTGTATTATAGACACGCAAACACGCAAATTTCAAATTGAAAATTTATTTTACTCATATATCCTTGCCCCACGTTGCTAGCGACAACTGACAGTTCAATAATTTCTATATTATCAATATATTATACTTCACATTTGATTTTATTTAAAAATTGGATTTTATATAGCTAACCTGTGATAATTAATCTTGGAAAAGTACAGTCTCCTACTGTTATCTATACTAATCATATTTAATCCTGCTTATTTTAATTAAAACTTACCAAATCTTTAATTCCTTCTGCTTCTATCCTACCAGTATTGTCCGTGGATCCTTCTCTGATTTGTTGCCCTCCAACGCTCCAACTTATTTTTGGTTTTGGATTTGCTTCAATTGTGACGTTAATGTTTCCTACTTGTCCGATTTGGTAGCCAAATCTATCGAGGGAGTCGTATATTGGCAGAGGTGCAACTTAAATAAAATAATTATTCAGTATTGAATTCTTTAAAATTTCTATTATTAGAAACTAATCACAGATAATATTATTTTTCGACACACACAATATCTTTTAAAAGAATAAAACCAAATTTGGTAGATTTTCACACTTTTATTTTAAAAATAAAATTTTTTTTAAAAAAAATTTTATTTTTAAAATAAAAGTGTGAAAATCTACCAAATTTGGTTTTATTCTTTCAAAATTAAATGGATTTTCATCAAGTAAAGGCCGAAACAATAAATAACACACAATATCTTCCGCAAAATAACGTAAGTAAAATGTTTCCTAAAAGTTGTAATGTTGCTCTAGTAGTACAAAAACCATCTTATACACCTCGGCTTGTAAGTGTTACTTACAGGTCGAAAACACAGTTTTTAGTACTAAGTATGTAGGTACTTACATTTGACATCTAATTGTCTTTTAGTTTCGGCTTGTCCTCCTGGATAGGCTGGATGGATAGCAACACATTTCAAATATCTACCGTTGTCTGTAGGTTGTAATACTCTGGAAAGATTCTGAACTTTCGACTGTAGGTTTTCTTTTGCAATTTCTATAACAGTCGCCATCTCGAGAGCACTATCGTTAATTCGTTCGTCATCTATAAAAACAACAAAAATATAAGATATAATAAGAAACTTTCGATCTCGTTATTGAAAGAAATATAATTTCTAATAACAAAAATAAAATTATTTTTTCTTTTCTAAATTCGCTGTAATTTTGTTATGATTGGCAGTTTTTAGTCATTTAAACTGATGACTTTAATTGGATTTTTCGTCAGGCAAAAAATATACAGAAGTCCCTCAAGGCTCAGCTTTGTATCCAAAATTATTACATGTATCTAAGGACTTACTTTTAGCTATTTACAGCTTTTTCACTTTTCTTTATAACAATTTTCGATATTTTTAAAAATAAAGGTACTTTAAACTTGCGTAGAAATAATATTTTGTGATATACCCCGTATATAATTGATACATTTTGATGTACGATCATTTTATTTTAAATTTTAGTCCATGCAGGACTTTTTATAAGAAAAAATAATTATTTTTTAGTAAAACTAATATTTTTTTTTTCATTTGTAAATAAAATAGTATATATTTACTAATATAATAATATTTAACCTTTAGTGTGTTTTTTCCTTGACAAAATACTTGTATTTAGATAAATAACTAACTTACCTAAGTACCAGCTGATATTAGCAACAGGTCTTCCATCTCTAACTACACAAGATGCTTCTAGGACGTCATTAATTTTGTATACCCTCAAGGAGTCTGTTCCTCTACTTAAGTCTAGTTCTGGCAATTTTGGCGCTTCTGTAAAATTAAAATTAATAAAAATGTAAATTATTAATATATCTAAATTAGTTTTCACTGCTACAAATTAAAATTTCAAAAATAAATTTAGAGGTTATTAACATAAAAGTATGAATTTTAGTAATAGTAAAATAAATTAAATTGATTTTAAAGAATTTATCAGATTTTTTGTAGATACAAATGAATATGTAGTGAATTGCCATTATTTATCAATTCTTTACAAGAATCAATAATTTTTTTCTTATTGCATTTAAACTAAATTACTAAAAACTATATTGACAATTAGTCTGACAGAATTATCACTTATTTAAAATTATAAAAAATAATCATTAAATATGAACTGTCATTGGTGGATTACTATAGAATGGATATGAAATTATATCCATTCAGTAGAACGTAATGGCCTACTTTTTTGTTCTGTAGTCTGTGCGTAGAATAAATAATATCCTTGAATTTACTTACTTGCTACAATAAGCTTCATAACTCCAACTGATTCGGTAGTTTCGCTTGATATTCCTAGAGTACATTTGATATCACCGTTGTGTTTTTCTTCTGCTCTATGAATAGTAACTCCGCACTGACCTGCTTCCAGACCACTCCCAAAATATGAAAACTAAAATAACAAAATAGAAGTGTTACCAATTTTATCTAAGCTACATGAAAAGCTACTACTAACACTACAAAAACTAATAATTGAAAATAAAAACCTGATCCCTTCGCACCAATTTAGTTTTAGAAACAAACATCGAAAAAGCATACGAAGAAAAATATATATTCTCAGCTATATTCCTTGACGTAGCCCAAGCATTTGACAATGTTCGGTACACTGGCCTAACACAGAAACTTGAAAAATGCTCCCTAAACAATATGTCGACATTCTTCAAACAGAAAAGCTATTGCTTTAGATAGTGAAGATGAAGAAAGTAGTGAAAAAAAGGAAAAAGTAAATGCTATTCATATTTTTGGTGATGGTGATGATATTAATAGTAAAGAAGATGGGGTAGACGTAGGTATAGCTCTAGATCTAGTTCAATGTCACGATTTAGATCGAGGTATGAAGATGAAAGAACAGAGACCAGTAATTGCAGATGATGAAAATAATGAAAATGCACCAAACCAATACCGGAGACTAGAATTGATGTAGATGTTCCAAAAATATGCTGTGATTTGGCATGGCGGCACTGAAACCCAGATGGCCTATTATGTCACCATTTGGATGCCCTACTCCTTCTCATCCATCATACATTTATTTATCATTCATTCCACGTCCTCGATGGTTAACTGCTAGTCGGTCCAGTGGTCATTCATCCAAGACGTCACTGAAGACATCACGGCAATAGAGTAACAAAGATAGTTCCAGGCCAATTAAGAAGTAGCAATAAGACTTTTGGGCTATGCAGTCTAGGCTATGCAATTGCAGAAAAAGTCACGTACTCCAAAAAACAGATTCTTGATTTTTGTATACATGGTCTAGAACTCCCCAAAACAGATTCTTGACCCAGAACAACCAATTGGTCCAGTCTCCACTGCAGAAAACGTCACGTGATCTAGAACACCCCAAAAAGAGATTCTTGATTCTTGTATGCCTGGTCCGGAACTTCCCAAAATAGATTCTTGACCCAGAACACCCAATTGGTCCAGTCCCCGTTTTTTATACATGGCCTGGAACTCGCAATGCAGTTTCTTGTCCCGAAAGTCTCATTGGTATTATCTGTAACTGTACCGTGTGGAGAGTGGGGTACCCCCACAGCACTTAGGTCTCATTAGGCCCATTGTGCATCCTCCTAAGATGATAGGCACCTCCTAGCTAGTGAGCCAGCCTACAGATTTAATGTAGTTGACAACTTCGCAAAGAGGAGTTTCTCTTATATCGGCTGGTGTTAGCCGATACTCGCCGAACACAAATATTCTAATAAATGAGAGCGTCGAGCAATCGTAAAGGATATGCTCGATGGTCTCATCTTCTTGTTCGCACCCTCTGCAGAGTGCGGATTCTGACAGCTCCATGATATGGAGATGCTTCCGTACTTGACAATAACCAGTCAGAATGCCTGTGACTAGGCGTAGATTCTGTCTAGTCATAGTCAAGTATTTGTTTGCTGCAGAGTTGTCAGGATAACTTAAGAGCTCCCTGGCAACTCTGAAGTTTCTTGTTTCATCCCATCTTTCCTTGAATTTCACAAGGGATTAGGTCTGTCACTACCGATTTTGTCAGGCCAATAGAAGGGCCAGGTCCAAAAAGTATTTGGTTGGCTGCTTTCTTGGCTAGTGAATCAGCAAGACGGTTACCTTTCGATGTGGCATGACCTTTGATCCATCTTAAGGTGACCACATTGTTGATGGATACTTCGGCCAAAGCTTCGTGACATTCTAGTATTAACCCTAAATAAATTCGTGGTCTGTTCAGAGTAGTGCTTGTTTGCTATCTGTATAGATGAGAATTTCCCTTCCAGTGATATTGTTTCGGGTTATTTCTTTTGCTGCTATGAGAATCCTCGTTAGCTCTGTTTGAACTACACTGGCACCATTGCTCACAGTCCATTTTATGTTTAGTTTTAAGAATCTAGAGTATATTCCACATTCTGAGCGTTTTTTTGTTTTAGAACGGTCGGTGTAGATATGAATCGTACCTGCCACTTCTGGCTCTTATAAATTTATATGGCTTATGGAAGATATATCTCGGTGAGATGGAGTCCATGTTCGCTTGAAGTAGTGGGAGCTTATTGAGCGCCTTCTGCCAAAAGTGACGTCTCGCCTCACCAGATCCTACATCAGGTTCTATTACAACCGTGCGGAGGCATGTCACTGTCGTCAGAGAAACCTCCTTGATGTAAATATCAAGGGAAGTGAGATTAAGAATGACTTGCATCGCTCTGGTCGATGTTGTTTTCATGGCTCCTGTTATGTTGAGCTCATTGGTATTATGTGGCCTAGAAGCCCCAATACGGTTCCTTGGCCGAGAACTCTCATTGCTATTGCATAGCCTAGACTGTATGGCCCAAAAGTCTCGTTGCTACCACCTCAATGGCCTGGAACTCTCTTTGTTACTCTACTCACAGCTTAACTGCCGCGAGAACGAGAATACATAATAGTCTCGCGGCTAGTCTCTTCTATATTAATGTTAGTACTAGTGTAAGACTCTAATAAATCGGCACGCCAATTTGTGATGCTTTCTAATATAAATAATTAAGCACAAATCATTATTTAAACTAAAATATATCCAAAAAATCAACACGAACATATGTCCAATTACATGAAAAGAAACTTTTGGTCTAAATTTTTCTCAATTATAATAAATTCATCTACAGTCCACTTTTTATGAGAATATTAAAATTTATGTTTTTCTAATTAACCAAATTTTATTTAATACCAATTTAAGTACGTTTAACTTAATCATTTTTTCATAGATTTTATTTTATTATTAATTATTTTTATTACGATTTTACTATAAAAACGCTTCTATATATTCACGGCTTATTTCAATAAAAGCGTTTTATACTGGCTAAAATAACCATAAATATTCTTTTAATAAAAAGGTAATTCGTGTTATTAATAAAAATGGCCGACATTTATTCGTTCCAGCAGACATTTCCAACATCAATATAGCATTTGCTAATCATGTTATATTACAAAAATTTGAACAGATCTGTGATAATAGGATTGCAGCAATGGATAAAGTTGGATTTTTAATTTATTTCTGTTCTATAGAAAACGAACAGGCATTGTATAATTTTGTGTTAATAAAGGCGATAGTAAAATGTGAATTTTGAGTAAGTTTATAAAATTGAATATTATTTGGATATTGTACAATGTGTAATGATTTTTTACGCAAGTAGGTACCTAGTAATTTCGTCTTATACGAGGGTTCATCAGCATGCTGTGAGATTAACATTTTTGATTATTTGACACATTCACATTATAGGTTATGTGTACAGAGCTTAGACTAGAAAATAAAGGAGATTCGTATGTCAGACCGATCTAAAATTAATATGAAAATTCGACCTATTGATTAAGAAAAGACAAATCAATCTAAACCTTAGACTGAGCTGTTTCATTAGACGAAAAAACAAAAGTACTATTATTGTAAAGCTGTAGCGTAAAGCCAGTCAAGACTTCTGGAGGTGAATTCTGAGGTTGTAAGTTGCACAAAACTTTCTAATGATCTAAATAATTCATTTAAAACACTAAGATGTGCTAGACCATTCGTTAAAGGTGAAGGTGATATAATTGGAAAAAATATTCTTATATACAAGTCAGATATACAAGTCAGAACGTTTAGAACTTTACCAGAAGATACAAGAAGATACAAGAAGATACAAGAAGATACAAGAAGATACAAGAAGATACAAGAAGATACAAGAAGATACAAGAAGATACAAGAAGATACAAGAAGATACAAGAAGATACAAGAAGATACAAGAAGATACAAGAAGATTGAAGTGAGTGTCTTACACTTTTGTAACCAAATAATCATGTATAATGTATAAAGTATCTACTGATTTTAATAAAACAAATCATTGTTTAACTTACCTCATCAGTCCCTGGTAACTGTTTATTCAAATTGAAGTTTCTGTGATCCGGAAATTCAGCTCGGCAATATTGCAAAGGTACTCCTACTCTGCATATAAAAGTTGCCTTTTGTCCAGGTAGGACCAGTAATTCTCTAGGTTGAACGTCAACTTGGGCTGCCCATGCAGCTGTAACAAAAAATAATATAATAGTTAAAATGAGTCGACGCCGATGACACCAAATTAAAAAAAAATTGTTAAAATGTTTTAAAATTCAATTTATAGATAATATGTTATCCGTAAACTGATAAGGGTCTTTTTGGTTTTAATATGTTAAGGTTAGATGTAGTCCAGAATACTGCCTCTTGGGTCAACTATACAATAGGAAGAACAATTTAAATGTAATAATGTAGAGATTTCTTTGGAATAAGCTCTAACGACAGAAAATTCTAGAAAATGGACAGGGTCATGCTGGAGTAAAAATGGTGGGACTAAAATTAATACATTAGTAGTTATGATTAGCCAGTTCTGGACCAAGGTCAGAGGCAATTGATGTAATTAGTAATTACCCTAAGTACCCACCCCTACCCTTCGCGCAATTAGCAAGTATCTCCCAATTACTCCGCACATCATGTAGTGAGTGTAATTGCATAGTAAGTACTTTTCAATTGCCCTATACACCATATGTAATGAGTATCATAAGTACCTTTTATTATACCATACACATTGAAATGTAATAAGTGTAGGTACCTTGTATAAATATATATGAAAGGCTTAATCCTGTGTCAAAGATATTGTATTTTCTATGTATTTTTCAATGAAATACAAACTTTTTTCTTATTTTTTATATCTAAAATTATACTTTTGACCTTGCCTCTGACCTTGGTCCAGAACTGGCTAATCATAACTACTTACATTTTATATTTTATTTTAGTGTCTAAATTTTAATTGTTATCAGACGTAACATAGAGGAAGTATCGGAGGTAAATATAGTTTAGATTTAATTCAGAGGCGTGCATAGTTATCACGGACACGGTCGGTCTTGGTCTGCTTATTATGATTGTTTTTGTGTGAAACTAAACCTTTATTGATTTGAATTCATGATTATTTATACTTTTTGAAAATATATTATTATTATTATTATAATAATATAAGTGGTTTTAGTGCTACTCTCTGTATGTTAAAAAATAACATGAATAATATTTCTTTGGATTTTACCATTTTTATTCATGAATTCTAGTAAAGTATTCCGTTCTTTTTCCAAATGGATAGTTCAAAAACCATTGGTATGAAAAATTCAAGAAACCATCTATAAAATCTTATGTGACAGACACATTCTGTAAAGGTATGATTTTTTTTCAACATTATTAAAGTTAAATAACTGTTCGTATTTCCCATGTATTCGAAAACAACCCAAGGAAAATAAGAGAAAAAAATCAAATCAGACCTTTATTATCGGCCATCAGCTGAACTTTGATTTTCCTTTTCCTTTTTATATTTTCGTTCTTCCGCTGCTCTGACCACATATTTAGGTCCTACATTGAAAACAAATACCTTGTTAAAGGGACCGTATGTAAATTGAAGCCAGTTGACGACTGTCAGAACGGGATAAGGGCATTTTCATACCGAATGGCCGGATCTTATCTCATGACGCGAGATACAGTCGCCTGAATTTACTCAACCTTTATAACGTCATCACGAGTAAGTACATAGGTGTGTTGAATGTTTAATGGATTCAGGTTAATTAAATATTTGTGATGTTTGTCTTTATGTTAAACAGAAATTACTTTAATTAAATTTTCAAACGTGCTCTTAATTGCAGAGTATTTAACAAACGTAAACTGAATAAAGGAAAAAATTTACAAATTATAATGGACATTTTGTATAAAATAGTAAGACGAAATACCCATCAAATTAGTAATAGTAGTCCAATTAAATAACGAAAAAAAAGCCCCTTCGAGCTTACATTAATTTGTAATTGGATGAAACAAAAAGGACCTTGTGTATTTTGATGTGATCTTTCCGAAAAAAAAGAAAAAAAAGATGTAGCAGTTTTTCAATTTTTTTTAAATTAGGAAAAACCTGGTTTTCCGGAATTTTCCATTGTAAAAATGCTAATTATCTGGGCAAGTATCATTCCGATAGTGAAAATAAATGCACCTTTCGAAAGAGGAGGCAAAAATAGTTCGGAAATTCATTGCACAGGTAGTTTTAATGGCGAATTTATCGCCTCCAGAAGTGCTTTTACCAAAAAGTCGTTTTTTCGTTTTTTTGATCAGAACCATGGACATGAAATTTGCGATGACTTTGTGGCGAAATTATAAATGTTAGAAATATGTGCCCATAAGAGAAGTTGCGTATTTTTTTGGCTCTCAAATAAAATAAGTCCCGCGGCGAAATCTGCCATAATTTTTCGGGAATTCGCAGGAAACCGGAGGGCGTAGTTTTTTTTTAATTTTTTTCCCATATGATTTTTTTCGGGTTTTCCGAAAACATCTAACAAAAAAAATGTATTTGAAAAAACTAACTTCGCCATCGAAAAGAGCACAAAAAATACACAAAACGGTATACTTTAAAAATGTTAGAAAATTAATCCTAAGCCTAAGTGTAAGTTCCAACTTGGTGATAAGCTTGCTTTTTGTTCTCTAATATCTGGTTTTTAGTTATTTACAAGAAAACTTGAAATGGAAGAAGATATATATGCATGACAAAAATACGTATTTTCTAGTTACGTTCCGAATTTTTTGAAAAAAATTGCAAAACAATTTTTTCTTAATTTCTCGTACTTTTTTCTTAATTAACTCGAAAACTAATTATCTGAATAGAAAACTGTTTCCATCAGATGATAGAGAAAAAAAAAAGACACGAAAAACTGTGGCATATACATTTTTTCTAGCATCCACTGTTTTCTGAGCGCACGTGTGCAAAGATCGGTAAGCAAGAATTGAAGCTACTCGAATTTTCTGGTAATTGGGAGAGAAAGTAAGCTTGTTTCTCATTAAACTTACTGATTCTAATGTATTTTCAGTGCCCAAATTACGGAAAAAATCGACAGTGTGCTTGTTTTTTCTCAAAAAAAAAGGGAAAATGTTGGATTTAAGAAAAAACCACTCGTTTTACGAGCAATTTTCTAAGCACAAAAATGCGTAGTTTTCGGTTATATTTCGAATGTCATAGGTCGCATTGCAAATCTGCAATAGTTCACCCTCTGCAAGTGTCTGATGACATAATAAACACAGGCCAGCCATTACAACCTGGAAACAAAAAAATTATAGCACTGTGTTTTTTTTTTCTGGGCTCGTCTGACTATGTGTCTCCGAATAACACTGAAGCCTATTGGCTTATTGTGTTTTACCCCATGTTAGTTCATAGCACCCACTCTATCACCTTTGTACCTTGTACAAGTTTGTACAGATCCTTGGGTGAGTGGGTTCTATACGTTGTTGGATCAACCTGGGGTTGTCCAAAAAGAGCCTGTCTTTTGCGATCTAGAGCTTCGCATTCGCACAGTATGTGTTTGGCCGTTTCTGGTTTCTTGTGACATAGTCGGCACATGAGTTCCCCATTGTACATGCCAATTTTGTTCAAGTGTCCCTTTACTGGGGCGTGCCCAGTCATGAACCCTGTTATCACTTTCAACTGGTTCCTATTCATTAAGAGTAGTTCTCCAGTTCTTTTGGGACATGGTCTGCTTATGAAGGCTTTTCCATGTGCCTGTTTTGGGGTGCTTCCCCAATAGTTGATATGTTGTTCCCGAATCCAGTCATTTATAAAACCCCGGACTGTACTTTTTGGTACTCCTGGGTTTGTGTCTGGTTCCGGTTTCTTCTGACCCTCTTTTTGCAAGTTCGTCAGCCTTTTCATTGCCTTCGATCCCTTTGTGACCTGGCACCCAAAATAGTTTTACTCTATTTCGGTCTGCCAGTGTTCTTAGTTCTTCGATGCATTCCTATACCAGCCTCGACGTAACTTTCTGACTCGATATGGCCTTAAGTGCCGCTTGGCTGTCTGACATTATTTGAATATGCTGATTTTCGACAGCTCTTTCATTGTTCGTTTTTGCACATTGCAAAATTGCGTATACCTCGGCCTAAAATACCGAGGAATGTATTCCTATAGCATACCTATGGTTAGTATCAGGGTTTTTGGAGAATACTCCTGCCCCAGTGCCTTCCGCAGTCTTAGACCCGTCTGTATACCAGGTTTGTTCCTGTCGTTGGGCATTGGGCTCCCTTATGGTGATCTCCGCTCTTTCCTGTATTAAAACCTCAAAGGGAGTATTAAAAAAGTACCTCTTGGTTATGTGGTCTGATCTCATGTCTAGCACGTCTCCTGTCACTAACCTTGAGATACTCATGTGACCTGGCCTAATGTCAAGATTTCCCAGTGTATTCCCTAATCTGTAAGCACCTAATCTTGCCTCTCCTTGTATCACATAGTGAAGAGGTGGGAGTCCTATTAGTGCTTCCATTGCAGCAGTGGGGGTTGTTTTAGCACTGTGATAGAATTTGCTTAATTTAGGAACGTACTTACTCAATAAATTGCTGAGAAGTTCGAAAAGCCATGTGTACACAGAGCTTGCTGAACACGGTTATTAAAAATCTATGCCGATGAACACTATCAAGAGATTCAATTTGTAAAAATATGACCGTTTGAAGTTTAAACTTGTCAGATAGCGAACGCCGAGACCATTACTATCCTTGATGCGACGTGCGGCTAATTTGACGGTAATTCTATATTTTGCACAAAACTCAAGAAACGTCTTATAACAAGTCAGTAAAATACAATTTAATAAATTTTAAGCCTAATAAATTTAGATATGTAAGAAATTTAAAACTGGAAATCGCAAAAAAATCAAATTACAGTAATGTAGTGTATACACGAGTTTTGGATCCCGCGGAGCGCGTGTAATGGGACTTTTGTCGGGAGAATTCTACAACTTAGAAGAAACATACCCACTTTAAACTTTATATACACATTTAGAAGACATGAAATTTGGGTTTGCTTAATTTTCAGACCAAAAAACTAAAAATTGTCAATTTTAGGCAACTTTTCTCAAAAACCGTGTTTTTTGGTCGTCACTCAATGAACAGTGGTCAAAAAAATAGATAAAATATATTTGCAGAATTTTCCGTAATGTAATCGTATTCTAGACACAATAGAGTACTCAAAAAAAAAAAGTTTTGAGC